CCTGCTAATTACATTGCTAGGCCCTTCTCTGAAGATGGAGCAAATGGGATGGGAAAGCAGCATTTCTTGTTTAAAACTGTTGAGCATAATTCTTTGGATGGCCTTTCACTGCTTGTCTTCTGTTTGAATACGGCAGCTGATATTTTTTTCCTGAATAATTTTTTGGTTTTCTTTGTATAAACATGAAGAGTTTTGAGGAATGTGAGTGTATATTAATTCTGAATTTCGTTCTAAAATAAAAAAGTCAAGATTATGTTTTATCAATACCAAGTTTGCAATGTTTTGAAGGTCAAGAGAAGAAACGAAGTGTCAGAAAGTCCTGCAGTGGAAGAAACAGTGAAGAAGAGAAGAGTGGAAGTCGGAGCAGAGACCTCATGCCAACAGTCGGGTATGGACAGGTCAGTTCACTACAAAATAGTCTTGACTACAAAATAGTCTTCCAGGGCACATATCAATATTTTTAGTGTCTCTTGCACCTTCCTCATATTTCATTCCTATGTAATCCTTTGCCCCATTTGTCTTCTTCCTTCTCTTCCTTAGGTGACAGAATGTAAGCAGTATTGCCCGTATTTGGAGAAAAGTTGTCCTACGCTTTCAGGTTCCAGTGCCATTAACTAGAGGTCTTCCTATTTAACTCCTTTGTGTTAACATTCTCTGCGGAGTCACAGCAGGATGAGAACTCAGCAGCTAGACAAGGCAGTGCACTGGCTTACGCACCTGAGCCAGGGATGACAAGGGAAGAACTGGGAACAGTTTTCTTGCTGCCTCCCAGCCTGTTCCTCTTGGGTCAGCTGATGAATGCTGCCTCTCAGCTTCAGGCTGACAGCAAAACACATTTGACGTTGCTGTTTTCGAAGTGCTTTAAAGTCTCGCGGAATTGCGTGTGTTGTGTGCACATGAGTATTATCACGCATCTTTCCCGTCGGTTTGTTTGGTAACTAAACTTCTCATGGTGATTCCAAAGCAGATCTCTGTCTCTGGATTTCACAGAATCATTGAGGTTGGATGGGACCTTCGGTATCATCAAGTTTAACTGCTCCTGCTCAAGCAGGGTCACCCAGAGCAGGTTGCCCAGGCTGTGTTCCCTCAAGTTTTGAGTGGACTCCAGGGGTGGAGACGCCACAACTTCTGTGGACAATTGGCTGCAGTGCTTGACCACAATTGCAGTTAAAAAGTTTTTTCTTGTGTTCAGATTTAGTTTCATGTTTTGCAATTTGTGCCGTTTGCCTCCTGTCCTGCTGGAAGGCGCTGCTGAGGAGAGCCCGGCTCCCTCTTCTTTCCCTGCCATCAGGTGTACATTGGTAAGATCCCCCCTGAGCCTTATCCAGGCTCAACAGTGCCAGCTCTCAAAGCCTCGCTGCATACGAAAGTCCCTTCATCATCTTTGTGGCCCTTTGCTAGGTTCCCCCTAGTGAGTCTCAGTCTTGTCCTGGGGAGCCCAGTCTGGACAGAGCATACAGACTGGCCTCAGCAGCCCTGAGCAGAGAGGAAGAATCACCTCCCTCAAGCTACCAGCAAAACTCTTCCTAATGCAGCTCAGGATGTTGTTGCCTGCCTTCAGCACAATGGCACAATGCTGGCTCATGGTGGCTAACTTCAAGCTTCATTCTTGACTACTTTTCAGAGGCAGGCCCATTATTAGTTATAGTCTAGCAGGCTTCTTTCTGTCATGGAGTGTCGCTTTTAAAAAAAGAAAATTCTTGTCCGTACTTAATATTCACAAGTATGTGGTAGACAGTCCCAGATCCAGCATTGTGACTGGAAGTGTTTACGCTGACCTTTCCCCTTCCGTGGTGATATACAGACCATGTCAAATAATCTCTCTTGTTGCCTTATATTCTACCCAATTCCCCAAATGTGTTCCCTGCAGAGATTATAATGGGACACGTCTAAAGCCAGTTCTTTTCCTGCTCATTTGAATGCAGTCCTTTAATTTCCCTGCGCCCCCCATTGGTTGCTGGTCACAGTAAAACTGCTGGAAATGAGTGAAGAATGAGGCCAGGATGCAGAATCCTTTCTCATCTCTTTCATCTGAGACGTAAGTTTTAGATTCATAGAATATAAAGTCAGAATGAGCTATTTCATGATCCAGTCTGGCAGTTCTATCTTACTCCTGTGTCTTGCCCCAGAAGTTACGCTATTCCAGAAAAGATTAAAAGAGTAAATAATTTTAAAGCATATTCTTGATCTCAAAATTAAATTGGTGAGGCATCAACTTCAAGCCTTCTGTCATTTTCTTCCAATTACTGTGTTAGACTGAAGAGCTCATTCCATCTGAGCATTCCCTCCCCTGCCCTGGGAAGGAGTTCGTCTACTGTAATCGGACCACCTCTTGATGTTTTATCTTTTTGGACAAGCTCTTTTAATCATAATTCTTCATGGGGAATTTGGATTTGGGTTTTCTGAGGGTGCTGTTGAGTGCTGAGCTATCGGAATCTCCAGGTGTCACTCCCCAGAGATACTCATCAGTTCAAAGAGTGCTGTTTTGTGTGTGGAGCCAGGGTTGCTTTTTCCCTTGTGCATTACTTTGTACCTCTCTGTGCAGAGTTTCCTCTGCCATTTTACTGCTCCGTGACCGAGTCTTTAAAGATCTTTCTGTGGTTCTTTGCTACCTGCCCTTCTCTTTGTGTCAGTAACCTTGCAGGAGTTGCAAGTTTCTCAACTCTCTGCTCATCCCTCTTTGCGTGTCATGTAACGCTTTTTTTCTCTTTAACTGCTTGTTGGTTTTACTAGAAAACCGAATGGTGGGATAAGTGCATACTTTCATTTTTTAAATGAGACTTTGAAACATCAGTGCAAATATGCATTAAGGGTATCTGTCTTGTTGGCTAGAGGTACTAAAGTCCTGATTTCTAGTGAAATACTTGGAGTAGCCATTTACAAGGTTGC